ATATATAAAATAATTTATATTGTAACAAAAAATTACTTTTATTTATTAATTATTTATTTTAAAATATTAAAATTTAATTTATAAATAATATGATAAATAAAAATCAAATATAAAATTTTAAAAAATTTAATCATAATTTTTTTATTATTATAAAACACTCTCACATAAAATATTTGTGTTTTATATATAAAAGTGAACATGTAATTAAAAAAAAAAGTGTCAAGAAAAACTATAGGTAACATTTATGGTATAATTATTAATAGTACAAAGAATTCAACGATGCCTGTCTAGCTAATTGCTTTCCTCTTGCGATCCTTGAATTGAATTACATTTGTCAAATGATATTATGAAAATATCTACGAATTTTGGCGTGCTTATTTTGTGATTTTTTTCTTTTAATTTTCTCACGAGAAATAAAATAATATCAAATAGATAGTTACCATTTCTTTATTTCTTTTAACTTGTTATTTATTTATTTATTTATTTTTATCAAAATAATGTGAATCAGTAGCTCAGAGGGTAATTTAGGGGTTTTTACCCTAAAAATAAGTTGATTTGGCAGAAGGAAGTTATCCTCCATATAATAATAAAAAAAATTATTTTGTTACTTACAAATTTGTTGTCCTTGTCCATATGGTAGATTCCTGGGTGTGTTTAATAAAAGAATGCACTATAATTAACAAAAAAATATTTGTTGAGAAAAAAAAGAAGAAGAATAAGAGTGTTAATAATTTCCAGGAAACAGACAATTTTTATATGTGCTACTAAAAGCAGGATATGAAAAGATAAGAGATATGCTAATTCTAAATATTACGTTATCAAAAAAGGAAATATATTTATTATATTTTATATCAGTAATAATTTATTATCTTACACAAATAATATTTCAACTGTAATTAGTTTTTTATTTTTTATAATCAATTCCTATATATAAAATATGATTGTTTATCTTGTAATTTTAAGATTTTTCTTTGACCATAACATTTTTTTTTATTTTTTATATTTAACTTAATTTTTATTTATTTATTATAATTATTTATAAATTAAATTTTAATACTTTAAAATTAATAATAATAAATAAAATAATA